AACTGCTCTTTATTTATTCGATTTGACTTTGAGATTCCGGCTTCAAGGAGAGCTTATTTGCGCGAAATCTACATGCCGGCCACGATTTTCACAGAACACTTGCGACCGGGATTAGAGAAGAGAAAAAGAAGCTCAGCCGAGCGAGTTGAAGACGCGCGGCTCATCCAGTGTGTGTAATTTTTTATACACCAAGAAAACCGGTTCTCTGCGGTGTTTGTGCTGGCCGAGCGTTTATTTTATTCTCTCTTCGCGGCAGAAGCAGAAGAAAAAACAAGAGGAAAATTTGGAAGCGCCAGAAATCTTGTCTCGGCGATAAATATACGAGAGGAATCTCTCGGCGCGTTTGATATAATTATTCGTCATTTATCAGCCGAAGAAAGTAACACGAGACCTTTTAACAAGCGATCGACTTGACGAATCCACTCTGCTTTTAGCCCCGAAAAGAGAAAAAAAAACACACTTTGATAAAACGCGTAATGCTCGAGCATGCACAACAAACTGCCGGAGTTTTAAAAGGGTCACGGCGATTTGTTTTTTGATGAATGTAAAACCATCTCGCTGCGAGTGCTGCGGAGTTAAGGAAAAGTTGTCCGAAGTGAAATTGCGTCACCTTAAATTACACTCATTTGTTTTCACTGCCTGAAATTCCACAGGAATTTCAACACCAAATAAAAAACTATTTGGAGAGTTAAAAAAATATTTCATCAAAATACCCATTTTTTATTAGTCTCTAAAAAATTGACGCAACATGACAAGATGAAAAAAAATCTGAATTTTTGGTGTTTCTCAATAAAATTAAAAAAAATTAAAATCAAATTGTGAAATAAAGTGAAGAATTTACACCAAGTTGGGTTCAAACAATAGAATTTTGTCCAAATTGAACGAATTCCTGATGGAAGAAGTTCCAAGGTGGAATTTAGTTGGGTTTTTTTTATCTTGGATCAATGTTTCTTCCAACAATTGCAATTTTTTTTTAATATTTCGTTACAAAAATAAACATAAATAGATACAAATATTATTATTATTATTTTGCTTAGAAGAAAATTTCTGGTAAATACTTAACTTTGGAATCAAAATTCATAAAATTTAACTCATATTTGAGCTTTATTTTCATTTTTTTTTCTTTTGTGCAGAGTCACGGTTGAAAGTCAACAAAAGCACGACTCTTCACATCAAAAATTCCATTTATAAGAGAGTTTGCAGCTCACAAAAGTGTTTGTTATTTTTGCGTCAAGTGACTCTCTTTCGCCTCCCATGTAAAAGATGCAGCTTTTGTTGCCGCCTTTGGTCTTTGGGCCGCTAATTCTCCCCCATTCACTAATGACTCCATTCTTTTTGCCAACAAAGAAGATTGATTGAAGGAGGGAAAATCCAGTGGAAATTATTGGATCAGTGGCAGCTTGTTGGAGGTTTTGCTAATAAGTGCAGCTGTTTGACGAAGGAATAGGTGTGTGTGTTGGAGAAGAAGAATCCGCCGCCGCCGCAGCCGTGGCAGCTGGAGATCGACCGTGCGGGCCAGGCACATAATTTACCTTTCATGCTCCCTGGCCCCCCCTCCCCTCCCCCGATGCCGACGCGGCCCTGGCTCAGGTACACTCACTTCACACAAAAGGAATCTTCTGCTCCCCCAACGCTGCTGCGTTTTCTAAAGCAGCCTCAGCTATATAATAAAGCAGCCAGGGGAAGTGTTAAAAAAATGACCACCTTTTAAACTCACTCCAACTCTAATAAGTACCTGTGGCAGCAGCTCCGGGGGATTTTTGAGTTTGATTGGGTTTCCGGCTGATTTGAATGGAAATTAATCGTCCACCCTGAGATTTTGCCCTGGAGGATCGACAGATTCAATTACTAACAAGGCGGTTTTAATTTGATTTAATTTTATTAAAAATACAATTGTGAAAAATAATTTAATCAATAAAAACATAGAAGATAAAACAATGCCAAAAATATGAAATTTCAAATAATTTTACTTCATTCTTCATAGATTCAAGCAATTTTCCTATATTTAATGAAAATTAAATTGAAATCGATTTTCAAATCTTAAAATTTATCCAAAAAAGCAAAAACTTCTATTTGCATCCAATTCCCCTTTAATTATTAAAATTTTCCGAATATAATTTTTTTCTAAATTCCCAATATATTATTTTTGTATTTCCCCTCATTGAATTCTATCACTGCCCTGGCTAGCTCGCACGGTCAGGCTCAATTCCATATAATACAGCACGCCTTTGACAAGTGATTCAGGGTTTTCGTTTCTGTTAATAATAGGGTGCCTCTCTTTTTCTTTCTTTTTTTCCGTCTCTCTCGTTTTGTTGCGCATATTTGTTAAAATTCAGCCCCTCTCCGCGATCCATCCCCAAACCATGAAGCCATATTTCATATGTAGAAAGAAAGTGTCAATAAGCCGCAGAGAAATAAAAATGCGTGCGTGTCCAATCGATTCGCTCGCCAGGCGGCGAAATCTGAGGAAACTTGTGAGGAGTCGGCGGTCACTTTGCCTTTGAGAGATTATGTTTGAAGAAGAAGCTTCAGTGTAATTACTTTTTGGCGACGACCACCTAGTTCGAGGAAATTCCTTTACAAGGTGATGAAAAATATAAGAAACCGCGCGGCAATTCTTCTTCTTCTTTTTGGGGGATTTGTTCGAATTTTAAGACAAAATAATCCGGAAGGCATTTTTTTTTACAAAACTTTCCGTGGGAAAGGAAAAATGTAAAGAGCAAATTTATTCCATACCCGCCCACACCGTTTTGTACTTTTGGTGAGAAAATCCGCCCCTAAATTTAATACAAGTTTTCCTCCCTGGCCGATTTTTAATCAGCTTTCCTCGAAAGTTTTGGGCACCTAGTAATTATAAAATCTCATAGCGTTCGGGCCGGTTTGTATATTCTCAGGACCCTTTTTCTCTTTTCTCCTCTTTTGCTCATCAATATGGAATTTATTATTTCGGTCTGTTGCCTTCTTCAACATCTCATTTTTTTTTGTATCCTTTTCGTGTTGTGTGTGTTGTGCTGATAAAACAATAGGTGCACGAAGGAATAAAAAGAGAGAAATAACATGGGAGGCGCGTCGGACGAAAAAAGCAGCGGGCACGACTTTTGTAATAAAAGAGGCGGAGTAGCCGAGAGAGAGAGAAAAAGGCTCTGGTGTGCAGCCTTTTCATCTTATTCCCATCTCGCTTTTTGTAATGAGAAAATTCTTGTAAATAAAAATAACAAACCTCCTCGTAAATTATCTATCGCGCGGCTCTCATGTACGAACCAGCACCGAGCCGAATGTAATTATTTTCGCCGCACACAGCCAAAAGTTGCACAATTTTTTTAATCGGAATTTTGAGATATTTTTGTGAGAATTATTGTTAAATACACAATAACAAAAATCAAACCAAATATAGATGATATTTGATCTCCTGAATTGTTTCCGAGCTTCAAAAGTAACTATTGACCTAACCCCAGCTTGAAAAAGTTGGACAAAATGCAAAATGTCCATCTTTTCTGTTATCGTTCGCAAACATCAGCGCCACCACGGCGGATTTTGAAAATTCTAATTATTATCTTTTTTCTCCGTGGACTAAATTAATGCAATTTTTCCAAATCCAAATCATGTCAATCAAGTTGACATACAATTAAAGGCGAAATTTATTTTCACTTTTATGTGGAAAATGAAAAGCCACTAATGTTACAGATTATCCTTTTTGAGCAAATTGGAATAAATTCAATTCTTTATAAAACCTCTTTTTGAAACTCTAAAAGGTCAGATGAGTTCGAAATCAATTACTAGAGAGATAAACAAACACTTTTGTGTCAGAAAATGATTTCCCTCGAGCGTTCCAACTTGTTGATCTCGAAAATAATTTTGTTTCATTCCCTTTGATGTATTCGAATTGACACAAGAAAGAAGGAGATGCGCTCACCTCTCTCATTATAATGCGATTACCCGAAAGGGTCGTCGTTTCTGATTTATCATACGCATTTGTACGAATGTGGTACTCACAAAAGGAGAAATTTGTTGCGTGCGCCGCGGCGAGCGAGCGGTTGTGCTCGTTAAGAATAAAGGCAGGTTCGTTTACCCCGGCAGGTCATGTGAGCACTAAATTATCAACTCCCAGAAATGATCTTTTATAAACCAAACATATTTTCCTCCTGACAGCAGCGGGTTCTATACAACAACCCTCGGTCTGCAGGTCTCTCAAGAGAGATGCGGAGAAAAAAATGAGGGTTCGAATATAAAAACGCAGCGTGAGTCTCGAACCGAACCCAGAGAGGAGAAAAATATAAAATTTTATTAATAATAATAAAAGAACCGACCGTGTTTGCTTATTCTTCTCAAAACGTGTACGAATCTTGTCCTACAAATTTTTATAATACACAGAAAAATCGATCAGTGCCGCCAACTTAAAAAAAAAAAACACTTTTAAGAAGGAGAAAAACACAAAATTTCATAACTTAAATCAAAATCCGGTTGCAAATGACTTTATTGGTCATTTAAATTAATATTCAAATTCTTTTGGCGGGAAAATTTGACTCCTTATTGCAATCCTCGAGAGTTTCAAGTTTTTAATGGCGATTTTGATTTCAGTCTGGAATTTTTTAATTTTTTTTTTTTTCATTCAAGAGTTAAAATCATTACGGGATAGGTCCTTTAATAATTGAAAACGCCGAAATTGAAATAAAAAGCGTCATCATCATCAACAAGCGAGAGTCGTGACGTCGCCGGTTTTCGTTATTCCTTCTCTCTGGCCCGAGTGTAATCAAACAGGTGGTTACTCTGTTTTTCTTTCTCTCTTTTTTTTTATTTTCTGTAGCGTCGTCGCCGCCGCTTTTGTGGGAGAGATGCGGGTTTCGGCGTTGCGTGTGGACCCGGAGTAAAATAAAGTGAAGACATTAAGACCCATTTTCCAACAAACAAATATCACTCGAGTCGCCGGAGGCAAAAAAAAAAACGCGGCGCGGCTAAACGGCATTTAATCATCGCGGCCAAAATAAAAATAGGAAACTCACCAATGCGAAAAAGTATACAAATGGCTCACCTCTGAAACAGAAAAAGAAACACTTGTTAGTTAATTCGATTAGGAGAGGATTGTGGAATATTTTTAAAAATTAGATTTAATTTAGACTCCGGAGTTTGGGAAATTCTCTCGGATGGGTCAGTGTTTAGCCCGATTAGCGGCGACTTGTCATTTTACTCGTTTCTTTCAGCCTCACGCCAATTAGTCAAATTAGACGTTTCGGTTTCGACGAGACGCGCGCCTAAGTGTGAATTTACTGAAAAGTTCTTCAAAACGGGATTCGTCAGAATGTATAAATCTTCGTTGAGAAAAGTAAATATAAAATAGCCTGCGGGCTCGCGAGAGACGAAAATTGTCCGTGGATAAATAAACAATAGGATGAGACCACACACTATATATTCCATTTCGAGAGAGATTCCGACCGCCTGTCCCGCATCGTTTTTGCATCATTAATTAGAAGGGAAAAAGTCAATTTTCTCCCGTTCCGACCTTGGGAATTGAATTACATAAAAAAACAAAAGAGTCAATTAAAAAATTGTGCGCCAAATTTCCAGGAAAGGTTTTCATGCATGCGTGCATTTCTGTAAAAATAGATTCAGTCTCGTTTGGGAAAACGCATTTCGTGCCCTGGAGCGAGGTGCATTCCTTTTTTTATATATTTGTCTGCGGGTCGGCGAGGGACCGCTTTTATTTGCAATTGAAATCGTTTTCTGACAGCAGGTAAAGATCTCCGGGAGAATTTAAAGTGCTTCCATCAATCTCGGCCTAATATTGTATTATGGAGGTAGAAATTCTTTCTTTCATACACCGAATAAAATTGCAAAAATTCCTATTCAAGGTTTGGAATTTAATCCGCAAATAAAACGTTGTAAATAATAAATTTAGAAAATTAAAGAGTCTAACAACTTTCATCAGAAATTCTCACATTCCATAGGTCAGACCTAGACTGATTCTTTTGCTATAATAAAATTAGTTTTCCACTTAAAATTGATGGAGTAATTAGAGTTTAAATCCCCCCCCCCCCCCCCAAACAAAGATGGCTTCCTATGGATTTTTTAATTCCGTTAATTTTCTTCAATTCTTTTCAAAATCAGTTTTTTTCTGGGTTTCCAATAAAAATTTGAAGAGTTTTTATTAATAATATATTCTATTATTGCTTTTGACCTCAAAATGAAAATTTATTTTCATATTTAAACTTTAGAAAAGCAATAAAAATTCTTCTTCTATACAAAAATTAAGCCGATAGACGTTCCATATTATAAAATCAATCCCGTTTTCTCCTCTATAATAGTTCCGAGATCATCATCTCTCTCTCTTCTGCATATAATAAAATTACACTCGTGGCAACTTTTTTGAGATCGAATAATAATAATTGGCCAATCTGGTGCAAAACGTCGTCGCATAAAACATAAAACAGTCTGCGTCTATATAAGAAAGATAAATCAAACAGCGCACGAAATATATAATTCCGCCGTTTCCCGTTATTTATTTTCCTATGGTGCGCCAATTTCAGTCTCTCTCCCATCATCCGAGTGTAATGATGGAGAGAGAGAAAGAAAAACACAAAATGTTGCGAGAGTCACGAGGCAAAAGGTTATCTTTAGTTCGTGGCCTAAGTTCGAAAAAGCGTCGGAATCGCGAGATTTTGCACGCCGCAGACATTTATTTATAAATTCTTTTTGCCCGATCGATAAGCCAGAAGTCGTGAACGAGTCTAAATTAAACAGACAAAAAATATCTCTCTTTCTTTCTCCTCTCTGATGAGATGATTTAATGGACGCAGTAATGAGATGGTTTGTATGATATAAAGTTCTATAACTGTTGTATTGGGAGAAAATCGACGGATGGCCTTTCGGAATGAAGAAAAAAAATAGAGATGAAGCCAACAAAGCTGTCTTATCAAACACGACCAATCGAAGCCGCGTGCTGGCCTAATTATCTTTTCATTATTTTACTGCACCGGCAGCAGAAGCACAAAAGGGAAGAAAACATTAAACGGTTAATGCGTTTTCGAAACATTGGTGATTTAAAAAAAAAATTATTACAAAATGAAACATAAATAAAATAATAAAAATTAAATTGTTTTCTTCATTTCTTTTCAAACATTAATAAAAATTATGAAGAGATGGAAATTCAAAATAGCAGTTTAAAAACATTTGAATGAATTTTTGTCAAATTTTTTCTTTTAATTCCTGGTATTTTTATTATTTATTTAATTTTTATTTCATTTGATTGAAATTATTATCCAATACCATCTAACAATTTTGGTTTTTATACATGAATTTATTGAATATTTGAACTTTTAAGAAGAAATAAAAAATTAATGCAATTTCTGATAATTTTATTATTAAATAATTTTTCATTGCAGGCCACGGTGAAATCCTTGACTCACTGTTTAATAAATTTTCACTCAAAACCATTTTTCCGTTTCGCAACAGATGATGATCGTTGCTGCTTATGCCGTGAATGGCCGCGCTTTTATTCGATTTGCGTGCTTCTGGAAACACAATTTCATGCACAGAAGCCCCGACAATCATAACACAAAACAACCCAAGGCTACCCATCAATTTCGTTTTCTCCTTCACGGCCGATGATGTATTAAAAAAAAAGAAACGAATATGTATAAAATAATGGAGAAGAAAAAAAAATAAGTTCGTGCCGATGCATTTTTTAATGGAAATTTTTATATTCCACGCGAGATCCACGAGGGATATTAATTATGGTGGGGAATAATAAAAAAAAGCGGCAGATGCACCAGCTTTGGCCGAATAAAAGGAAGATTAAATACGAGAAAGAGGGAAATAAAAAAAAATTGTGCAATAGATCAGTCATAAAGAACTATAAAAGAAACTAGAGTAAAATAACGTCAAAAAGAAAATAATGATTTTAGTAAATTTACTTTAATTTTTATAAAAATAAAAACGTGAGAAATTTAAAAAAGGCATGAAAATTTTTTCAACCGTGTATTTTTATTATTTTTTATCAACCGACAGGATAAATTCGAGCACGGTCGCCGCTGAACACAACGAAAAGTGACCACGCAGCGTGTCGCGTGAAAAAGAAAATAATGCAATCTTCGCTCAGGATCGCGCAGAATAATCAGCGAGCGTCTTATTCAATTGCACGCGTGTGAATTCTCACAATGGAGAGCGCAGGGATGATTCAGCGGCGCATCAGATGCGTATCTGCACGTGCATTTATTTATGCACCCTCACACACATAGAGAAATGCGAAAAACGACCCCAGCATATAATTATACGTATGCGATAAAATGCACCCTCGATAAAAGGACCAAATGAATCACTGTCATGACAAAAACACGAGATAACTGCTATTTTGTGTATGTGAGTCGAAAAGGGACAATCGACGACAAATGAGCTGGAATAAAACCAACCCCGGGTCAGCAGAGCGGCAGGGTTTGATCAATCCCTTTTAATTTGAATTAAAAGATCAATTCAATCGATAGAATAAACCTTTTGAATCAGTCAATTAATGAAACTGAATTTATATCTATAGAAGTTGAAAAAAAATGCAGTTGGCCAACCTGAGAAAATGAAAAACAATTGAATAACATTTTATTTTATTTAATAATTAATTAATTTAATCAAGGGTTTAATCAATACCTTTTAATTTGAATTAAAAGATCAATTCAATCGACAGAATAAAAGATAGAATAAACCTTTTGAATCAGTTAATATGAAACTGAATTTATATCTATAGAAGTATAAAAAAAATGCAGTTGGCCAGCCTGAGAAAATGAAAAACAATTGAATAACATTTTATTTTATTTAATAATCAATTATTAATATTTTTAAAATATTTTTTATTTCAAAGCAACAAAATCAGCAAGTAAAGTGCAATTAAATTAATTAGACAATCTGATTGCCTTAAGAAACTTTATGAAGCTTTTCCTATAAAATTATTCAAGTTTTTCTTTCTCAATTATACCAACTGCCCAACAGAGTCAATTTTAATCCGCTTTAATTCCATTATCTAATAATTCTTTCCTATGTTTTCATCCATTTTTAATCCAATCAACGTATAATTAAATTACCAAAAATGGATTTGGAGAAGAAACTTGATATATTATTTCGTCGTCTTGATAATATTGGGAGAGAGAAGCCCCTGTTCTCAAAACCTTAATTGGATTTGCGCAACAAAATATGACATAAGAAGCTCCTGCTCATCCCAATCTAGAAAAAAAACTTGATGCAATTACTTTCATTTACTATTACGAGCCAGGCTCGAATTTTTTTTTGGAGATGAAACAATTTCGCAATATAAAAAAAGAGAGCGGTTCATCAAAAAGATCACGATATTTTTAGGCGTGAAATTAAAAATTAAAATTAGATATTGATTGAATTTAAAGGGGGGAAATTGTCCAGTTAGAATTTTCTCACACGCCTCTTGTTATGTGAGAGTGCAGGACACTTAATATACTTGTATAATTATTGCTCTCAAGATGCGATTACGCTCGTCGATTTGCTGCACCGAGAGGAATTAGCATAAGCGGTATGAAGTCGTGCATCAAAACCAACACTTTCTATATAGACATGAACTTTATTTATGCCCGAATAGTAATGAGATGTGAAGCACGAAGCTTTTCACACTCTTTAACCTCACAATCAGATCTAAAAGATACATCACAGGTGAAATTGAAATTAACAGTTTTTTAATATAATTCATTTTTCTTCCGGCTTTCTCTATTAATAGAATTCAGATATAAAAATTAGTAGAAAGAAGTAAAAAAATATCTTTGAAAAAAAAGCAGAATTATTTGATTGGGTAAAATAATTTTATAATTCAATTTTTATTATTAGAAATTCCCCATCTATTTAATGAAAAATTTACTTTGCCAATTTTTTAAATGGTAGAGAGCAAACAAATCTGAATTTTTGTAAAATCAAATTTCAAACTATTATTTCTACCTAAATTTGGGTTAAAAAATTGAAATACAATAAATTATATAAAAAAAACTAATTTCGTGTTTCCTAACAAACCGAGAATTAATTAATATTTATTC